GAAAAGTTCAGCCCACGCTCAAAGAGCAGGGTGCGTAGGTGCTCCGTTACTTCGCGACCGCCGTGGTTAAAGCGACTTGCCGCATTACGTATGATGTACGAGTCGTACACCGGTGTCACCTGCGTCACCCCAGCGCCCGAGTCCAGAACGACGCCTGTTGTACGCCCGCTGGAGTACAGGGCACACATGCCCGAGGAGACAAGCGCAAGTGAAGGTACACCAAAGGCCTCAAACAACACCTCGGCCATCTGCTCGGAGTTCTGTTTGGGGGTGAATAGCGGCTCCGTGCAGACAAGCGACGTTTCCGCCGGGTCCAAGTCAAACTCCGCGAAGGTGTGGTGAATGATCTGCTCCATTTTGGGCCAGTCCTCCACGATGCCGTGCTGAACGGGGTGGTGCAGCGTTGCCCGGTGCATCTCGTGAAGGGCCTCCGCGCCCACCACAAATGGCGCCGGAGGAGGCCCCACCGGCGCCACGCTGCTGCGCCTCAGCAGACCGTGCTTCTTCGCCGGGACGCCAACGACGGCCGGAAAGACAAGCGACGGCAGCGACTCGGAGACGCTCCCGGCCTTGACCAACGACGACCCAAAGTCCGCAATGAGCATCGCGGGCGTGCGCGCTGACGCGAGCTTTACTCCAGTCTGTGAGCGTCAACCCCTCCAGGGACGAGCGCACCTCCCCTGCAGCGTACACCCGCGCCCAACAAAAATGCACACACCTCCCTTTTTGTCGTCTCTCTCTTGTTCCCTTCTCTCGGCGAGCAGCAAAGACGCACAAAAAAGGCGGCGAGGCGCGCAGTCGCAGATTCCGAGCCCTCACGACCTCACCGGGCGCACCACACTTGCCGCGTGCCTCTCTAGCGGCGCGTGTGCGGCTCGGCCGAAGCAGCTCGCAGTTGCCTTCGCCCAGGGACGCCGCCGGGGGGCCGATTCGTCGCCACGGCAGTTGGGAAGTGGGGGCCCCGCACGTCGCCGGCACCCGCGTCCGCACCGCGCAGGCGAGAAAAAAAAGAGCCAAGCGAAGAGAAGAGCTGAGAGGCGCAAATTGGCGGCGAGGGACAACTGCCACGCAGCCGAAGGATCGCAGGAATTTGTGTTGTCGCACAGTGAGGGAGGGGAGGGGGGGGGGGGGAAAGTAAAGTAAAAA